CGCGCCAAAGCGACGCTAAGTTTGATTTTGAATTTTTCTTTTTTAAAATGTTTGCGTTTATACCGAATATGGTAATGAACAAATTATTTTACTGGTAAATTTTACTGTCAAAGTGGCATGAACTATATTGTTCAATAATTACAGTAATGTCGCACTTATTAACTAAAAGTCGCACATGGATCAGATATTTAAATTACAATAAACGTGCAATCAATTTACAAATACATGAATTATTCACACAAAACTAATGCAAAGGTTAATGATTTTAAATGGCGAGACATCCATCTCGCAAACAATTCAAATATTACAAAAACCTCAGATCCGTTATGAATGAATTGATCCTTGTTCATATAAATTTCTGCCGTATTAGTTGTTATTTTTACACAAGCTTTCGTCTGTTCCTACAGACATCTTCAGGTATATAATAGATGTTGTTCTTGTTTTTTTCTCTTAGTAATAAGAGGACATCGAAAATATATGTGTATTGTATCCGAAATGCTATTGAAAATGAGATATTGGTTTTTGAACGCGCCAAAGCGACGCTAAGTTTGATTTTGAATTTTTTCTTTTTTTAAAAAAAAATTATTACTAAGAGAAAAAAAACAAGACAAGTAGACAATAAGCAGTAAATTCGACCTTGTCTACCGAACGGTTCTTTGTAGCCCAGAGGTAAGGCACGTCAGCGTATATGACGGTTCCGTATAGGATGCAGGTTCGAATCCTGTCAAAGAACGAATATTTTCTATGAAAATTTCTCGGACATTCAGGCCGGTAAATGTTGTTTAATACTGTTTATCATAAACAGAGCATTTGCTTAAATACTTGTATCTATAAAATAACAACGTTAAACATAAAAAATGTCTTTAATAAATAAATTGTCGGTCCTTGTCAATTTCTTTATATATATATTCATACACGTTTCATTAAATAATATAGACAAGTGTTGTCTATTTATTTTATGTAAACTCTTTTCATAACGTCTAATAAGTTTAATAACATTATCGTTGAACGAAGAAAGAAATTCCCAATATTGATCCATATTTTTTTAAATACAATCTAAGCTTTCGGCTTACATAAATACACACACAATATATATATATATATATATATATATATATATATATATGTGTGTGTGTGTGTGTGTGTGTATGTGTCTCTGTGTGTGTGTGTGTGTGTGTGTGTGTGTCTGACACCACTTTGGAATCGTTCTGAAACAGGGTCAGAATATTCGAGCATCCAGTAAAGATCGAGCTAGCTATACTGACAAATGATATCCGAAGCGAGCACGCTCAATTTCGCTCGGTAATAGGCGACAATAGATGGATTGATAGCGAGCAAGAGAGAACAGGGAAAATGAGAAAAGAAATACTGATGAGGAGAAAGAAGATAGGTGAAGAGAAATGGCTTCCTGAGACCGAAGTAAAGGGAAAAAAAAAAAAAAAAAACAGAAAAAGAAATAAAAGAAAGGACAATGATAGAAAAGTGTACATAATAAGTAAAAAAAAACCAAACAAACAAACAAAAAACAGGTAGGGTCTAAAATTACGTCTGTGTCTATTAAGCGAGGTTATCCTTCTCTTCCTTCTTGCAACAGCAACTAATCACATGTGCGTGCCAATCTGCTGCCAGAGAATGAAGACTGATCGGTCTTGCTAAGCCGTCAGTCCATTATTTACGAACCGCTTCACATCTCAATTCTTCGTCGTACTCTGCAACTGCTGAACCCACAATACGAAATAATTACATACGTATATACATGAATACACTTGCTTAACTTCTCACATCAATAAAAACAACACGAACCTTAGTATATATATATATATATATATATATATATATATATATGCGCGTGCGTGTGTGTGTGTGTTTATCATTTTAAATATTATTTTTAGTATTTGAGTATACACTCCATTTACTTCTTAAACAGTATATTTATTTATTTTACCTACCAGCTTGAATGATAGAGAAATCTTATTAAATACAAATTTGCTGTCTTATGCCAGTTGGTGAATATAAATAAATAGGCTGTTTAATAAATAAACGGAGACACTACTAAAATATGACCCACTAAAATAACGTTTTCAGTGATAAAAATCTGTCGTATTCATAAAAAATATATATATATATATATATATATATATATATATATATATATATATATATATATATATATATATGAATTTAAGCGTTCTACTAGGCTGGCATCTCGCTCGCACCTTTCACTGTCGAAACTGTTAAATGTAGCCGTCGCTTCTACTCCAATAGCTTCATGTCT